TTTGATTTCTTCTTTGATTTTAAAAGTATGTTGTTTAATTTCACTTTATTTAGGTGATTTTCTGGATGTTTTTATACTGTTGATTTCTGATTTATTTTCACTTGGACATAGGATAGTTCTTGTAAATTTTAATCCTGTAAAATATTTTGAGATTTGTTTTGTGTCCCAGGAATATGGTCTGTGTTTGCAAATGGCTCATCTGCATGTGAGAAGAATTCTGCTGTGGAGCAGTGCCATGTGCATATTTATATGTGACAAAATTACCAGCCTGTGATGGGTCGGGATTTTTAAAGATATTCACTAAAGACCCGTGCTTCCCAATCTATCTGTAACTTATAGCTGAATACTGTTTCCATTTATCTTAGTTGTGTGGCTTTTTCTCATAATCTCAGAAGTCACACTTTCCCCCCACTGAGATTCAAGGGGAAAGGTATTAAAGAATTTGAAGGTGTGTTTTTTAAATTCCCACAGATGATGATACTGATTTTCCAGGCTTAGAAATGTATTAGCTCTTACAGAAAGAAAGAAATTAATTCAGGCTGTAAGGAAGACAGACAAATCCATTTTTTGTAATCATACGATTTTTCTGAAAGTTTGGTACCAGTGTGACAAAAGAGGAATAATTTGTACTTCTTATTACCTCTTAAAAATGAACAAAAACATATGGTATTTTATCTAGCCATCAACATTTCTATTATTTGAAGTAATTCTTGTCACTCTTCATTTAAAAAGGCATATAGTGTAAAGTCTCCCTATTATCCTTCATTGCCCAGTTCTCTCACACCCAACTCTAAATTTAAAACAAAAAACAAAAAACACAGACAGCTGCTGCTTTTAGTTTTTTCTTTGTTTTGTGTTGTTTCTAAATCCTTACCCGAGGATATGTTTCCATTGATTTTAGAGAAAGAGAAAAAGAGAGAGGGAGAGAGAGATAGAGAGAGAGAGAGAGAGAGAGAGAGCAAGAAATCCACGTGAGAGAAAAACATTGATCAGTTGCCTCCCATACCAGGATTGAACACACAACCTTTTGGTGTAGGGGTGATGGATGCTCCAGCCAACTGAGCCACCCAGCCAGGGCTGCTGCTTTTAGTTTTTTAAACCTATCACAGACTATCTACACTAATAAAAGACAAACACGCAAATTGACCGTACCTTCGCTACGCCTTAAGCCACACGCACCAGCCAATCAGAGCGACTATATGCAAATTAACCCAACAAAGATGACGGCCGGTGGCCGGCAGCCACATAGCTGGAGCAAGCAAGAGGCTTGGTTGCCCCAATGATGGAGGAAGCCAGGCTTCCCAGCTGCCACAGCCGGCTCTGAGCTCCACTCAAAGCAACAAAGTTTCGATTATAGAAGGTAAATAAACCCCAGATACCTGCGTTAAGCCGGCCGTGGCCACGGAGCTGGAGCGAGCAGGAGGCTTCTCTCCTGCCTGCCGTGGGCAGCTCTGAGCTCCACTCAAAGCAACGAAGTTTCAAATATAGAAGGTAAATAAATCCCAGAATAAAATTAAAAAAAGAAAAAATGGAGAGGCTTGGAGCTTCTGTCGCTGGGAGGCTTGGCTAGCCTGAAAACGGCCCTCAGCTCCTCACCCAGACTGGCCAGGCACCCCAGTGGGGACTCCCCACCCTAAAGGGGGTGTGGCCAGGCTGAAAACAGCCATCAGCCCCTCACCCAGGCTGGCCAAACCTCCATTGGGTGAGGGTCCCCACTGTGGGGGGCCTTGACCAGCCTGAAAACAGCCATCAGCCCTTCACCCAGGCTGGCCAGGCACCCCAGCAGGGACCCCCCCACCCTGAAGGGGATGTGACCAGCCTGAAAATGGCCCTCAACCCCTCACCCAGGCCAGCCAGGCACCCCAGCGGGGACCCCCACCCTGAAGGGGGTGTGACCAGCCTGCAAACACCAATCAGCCCCTCACCCAGACTGGCCAGGCACCCCAGTGGGATCCTCACCCTGATCCGGGACACCCTTCAGGGCAAACCAGCCAACCCGCACCCATTCACCAGGCCTCTATCCTATATAATAAAAGGGTAATATGCAAACTGACCCTGACAGCAGAACCACTGGGAATGACAGTGGGGCCTTGACTTACGAGTTTAATTCGTTCTGTGACTGAGCTCGTAACTCAAATTACTCGTATGTCAAATCATTAAAGTGAACAAGTGAGACACGTGATGCTGGGTTGATGTTGTAGCGTTCACTGTGACGTTCACTGCACCAACTAGCGGTGGAGTATCTGAAGCTGGCTCGTAATCCGAATTTTAGCCCTCAACTCAAAGCAGAAAATCGGCCGAGAGACGGCTCATATATCGAAAAACTCGTTAGTCGGGACACTCGTAAGTCAAGGCCCCACTGTACTCATTAAGTTATAGATATTGGGCTCTAAATGATTAGTTTTACCAAAAAATTCTGTAAGAGCTAAAAAATTTTATAATTGAGGGAAAAGCCTCTCACAAAGCAATGTTAACATTGCCACCTACCTTTATTATTCTTTTTATTTGAAAAGACTTAGCAATTATAATAAGAAATGCTTTAAAGTTGTTTTAGAATTATTATAACCCTTGAACATCACATTTTGTTTTTATTTTTTTACATTGCAATTCTCATTTGTACCTATATTAAATATTAGTATTAAAGTACATATTAATTTTCTCATAATTTTGACTAACTTCTTATTTAATAAATTTAATAAACATTTATTCATAGAACTGATTTTTAAAATGACTACTTTAAATGTACTATGATTTTTAAGACATTCCCTAATTTGGGGCACCTAGGTTGTTTTTATATATTTGCCCTTACAAATAACACTGCTCTGAGAATCTTCCTTCATTTGTCTTTTTCCTTCGTTGAATTATTTCCTTAGGATAAATTCCTGAGTAAAATCGTAAGAATAAAGAATATGAGCATTTTCATAGATCTTTATATGTATTACCATGTTATTTTCCAAATGTCAAGGGTATTAGAACCGCACAATGAATGACATGGGGGATACAGGACTGGCCAATGTCATTTAAAGAAAATATTCTTTTAGTAGATAAAAAACAGTATATCACGATTATGTTAATTTTCATGTCTTTATTTAGTCAACAGCTTTCTTTTTTAAAGGTTTTCATGCATCAATATAAATTACTCTGATGTGTTTTGCCTCTCTCTTCAACTGCTCTCCTAGGCAGCTGAAGTCGGCCAGGAGTAGTGCACACATTCCTGTGACCCCGTTGTTCTTGTGGTTAAATGGGGGGTAGGGGGAGGGTGGGAGGGGAATAAGGGAAGGCGGAGCTGGTTGGGGGGAAGTCAATGGGGAAAAAAAAAGGAGACATATGTCCTACTATTTGTAATACTTTAAACAATAAAAAAAAATAAAAATAAGTACCTTCCCCTCCTCCTCACTTCTATGTTCATTCCTACTCAGGAACACAAGGGCACTCTGAAAATTAGCCAACCACTTGCTCTTCTTTCACACAACTTCCCTCCTACTACTGAGCCAGTCTCTCTTTCTGTATCTTTCTTTTGTGAGCTCATTTAATACTTTTATTCATTTATCTTCTAAACCAGGGGTCCTCAAACTTTTTAAACAGGGGGCCAGTTCACTGTCCCTCAGACCATTGGAGAGCCGGACTATAGTTTAAAAAAAACTATGAACAAATTCCTATGCACACTGCACATATCTTATTTTGAAGTAAAAAAAACAAAATGGGAACAAATAAATATTTGTATTTGCATGTGGCCTGCGGGCCGTAGTTTGAGAACCCCTGTTCTTATCAGATATTCAATGAGGCTCACACTTCTCTATGACCTCTGTTGTCATACGTCTGTCCTTGTTATTTTATTTATAAACTAGGGGCCCGATGCACGAAATTCATGCAAGGGGCTTGGCCCTCGCAGCCCCGGCTCATCCGGAAGGTCATCTGGATGGCCATTCTGCTGTTCAGTCTAATTAGCATATTAGCTCTTTATTATATAGGATGATTAGTTTATAAGGTGGTGGCACCTGGCCAGAAGTTGATCCTCTCCGTAGGGTTTTACCTGCCCCAACCTTGCACTCTCTGTGTTTCCAGAGTCAATTCCTAACCCTTCCTCTGCTGCACCTTCACCTTCACTAGCCACGAGGTTCCTTCAGTCTGGAATTTCTTTTCTCTTTCTCCACATTTTGGATCTGTATTAGTTTTTTATGCTGGGTAAAAAAAAAAAAAAATCAGTCTTATACTTAGTGGTTTAAAACAGCACACATTTGTTATGCCACAATTTCCTTGCATCAGGAGTCCAGGTACAGATCAATTGGGTCCCATGCTCAGTGTCTCAACAGGTTGAAATAAAGGTGTCAGCAGGGGCCCTAACCAGTTTGGCTCAGTGGATAGAGCGTCGGCCTGTGGACTGAAGGGTCCCAGGTTTGATTCCAGTCAAGGGCATGTACCTGGGTTGTGGGCACATCCCTAGCAGGGAGTGTGCAGGAGGCAGGTGATTGGTGTTTCTCTCTCATCGATGTTTCTTACTCTCTATCCCTCTCCCTTCCTCTCTGTAAAAAATCAATAAAATATATATTTTTTTAAAAAGGTGTCAGCAGGGCTGTGTTTTCGTCTGGAGCGCAGGGTCCTCTTCTGAGCTCATTCAGACTGTTGGGAGAATTAATTTCCTGTGACAATGGGAGTGAGGTTCCCATATCCTTGCTCAATTCCTTGGGGCCTCCCTCAGGTCCTGCCACATGGCCCTCTCACTTCATGGCAGCTCCTAGTCAGCAGGAGAATCTCTCTCGTTTGCCAAGGTGGGCTCTCATAGAAAGTAACCTCAGCGTGGGAGTGAAATCCCGTTCCATTCACGGGTCTCACCCACACTCCAAGGGAGAGGTTTACACAGGGCAGGGATCTTGAGGCCACCTCCTCCTACCTAGGGTCCTGCTCTTCCTTTATTGTGCTGTTGAAATTATGTTCCTTTCGTGGACCCTTGTCATAGCCTCTCCAGCAGTACAAATTGCTCTCTCACTTTCTTCCTACAGCAGTGCCTGTTTCAAGTCTCCTGTCTTACTCTGCCTTAGCGCTCATGGCCCTGCCATATCTGAACAGCACACTTCACCTTTGCAGTGAGTAGTACTAGATGTGTGTTTCACCTTGGCTTGCTCGCTCTCAGAGTATTGTTGAGGTGGCTCCTCTGAGTAAGAGTTGTATTTTGCTGTTATTGACAGTTCTTAAAGGTCTGGCACACATTTTCTGAATGTTAACGGTCCACTGTGGCATGTTTTGAAACATTTGCCTGTCTAGTAAGCCACTTAGGGACTTTGTAACCTGAGCATAGTTATGTTTGAATCAGGGCAAACAAGGATTATAGAAAAGTCATGTGTCAGAGACAGGAACCAGGGCTTAAAAGAGCCTAGAATCTAGTCAGAAATGAGTCAATATTAGAGACAGTATGAGTCCAAAATGTCTCAGTGAGAGCAGTAAGGAATGTGGGGAGCAGGGGCAATCTAAGTTTGGGCATTGCCTTGGATGTCCCCGCAGCTCCTACCCAGTGCCTTGCCACTAGTAGGCACTCAACAGTGTTATTGGTTAGTTACCAGGAAGTAGTATGTGCCTGTGAAGGCTTTATGATTTTTAAGTCAATTGTTTTATTTTGTTTCCTAATCATAGCTGGTGCTCAAGATAAAATTGGCTGGGCCTTTGGCCTAGGATTAGAAAGACTGGCCATGATCCTCTATGACATCCCTGACATCCGCCTCTTCTGGAGTGAGGATGAGCGCTTCCTGAAGCAGTTCCGTGTGTCTGATATCAACCAGAAGGTGAAATTTCAGGTAAAATAACTTGCAAGGATCAACTAAATTAAAAAAAAAAAATGTTTGAAAGAATGGTGGGGGTCATGCATTTGAAAATTGAATTATTGAATTTAAAAATAATGTGAATTTGAAAGTAGGTTTTTTATAGAAGTCCATAAACACCCCACAGGAGTTCATAAACCTCCAGAAACTGTATGTGGAAAAAGACTTATCAAGCTTTTTAGTCTAAGCAGAGAACCAGTTTTGGGCTTTCTTGATCATTTTATTATCGATCTTTATATCTGATGATACTTTAAAGTTTAGTTTTTCTGATCCTATATAGACACATTAGTTTCTTATGATTAGTTTGTAATGCACACCTTCTTCATCATTTTACTGTCACTCTGTGTCTTTATATTAAAAGAGTGTCTTTTATAAGCACCATAGAGTTGGGTCTTTTTTGAAATTCAGATTTAATTTGAGTGTTGAATACATCTTACATTTAATATAATTACATGGGATATTCTTGGACTTAATTCTGTTAACCTTTTATTCCCCACCCCCACCCCATTTCCCTCTTGTATTCTTTATTTGGAAATTATGGTTTTTTGTGGGGGATTTTTGTTTATTTTTATATCTCATTTTAGTACCCTTATTGCTATTTAGTTTCACCATTTTGTATTATTTTAAACGGTTATTCTAGATTACAATATGCATAATTAACTCATCTCACTTTACCATGAGTAACTATTATACAACATCATGAAACAGTTAATAACTTTACAATAGTGTAATTCCTTTTACGCCTCCTGTTTTTTTGTATTATTGTCATATTTTATTTCTCCATATATTATAATCTCACAATATATTGCTCTATTTTCTTCATATAGTCAGTTATCTTTTAAAGAAGTTTAAAACTATATTGTTTATATTTCCCTCGATATTTACCCCACACTGATTATTCCTTCTGCTGATCTTGATTTTTCTTTGTGATTATTCCCCTTAAGTCTGAAGAACTTCTTTTAATATTTCTTGTAGTACAACATGAATTTTTTCAGCTTTAGTTTGTCTGGAAACACCTTTGTTTAACGTTTATTTATTTTATTCTATTAATTTATTATTATTTTATATTTTTATTTATTTCAGAGAGGAAGGGAGAGGGAGAGGGAGATAGAAACATCAATGATGAGAGATAATCATTGACCGGCTGCCTCCTGTACACCGCATGCTGGGGATAGAGCCCGCAACCTGGCTATGTACCCTGACCAGGAATTAAACCAGTGACCAAGATCTTGTGCATGGGTTGATGCTCAACCACTGAGCCACACCCACCGGGCTCACCTTTATTTTTTAGGAATATTTTCCTTGGATATGGGTTGTCACTTTTTATGTTATATTTTTTTTTTTCCTTTCAGCTCTTTAGAGATGTTATTTCACTGCCCGTATCCTTTTAGTTTGGTTTTCAGCAGTTTGACTTATGTGTGATTTTCTATCTGTTATCCTCCTGAGGTTTCACTGTGTTGGATTGTCTTTCAACCTCCTTGAAAATTCTCCTCTACTCTCTCTTCTAACAATATACTCCTTCTTTCTTTTCCTTTTCAGACTGTAACTTCATGTTTGTCAGACCATTTGGAATTATGCCATAGAACTCATGCTCGGGGTTTGTTTTTATTGATTTTTTTTCACTCTGTGCTTTATTTTGGATAGTTGTAAGTCTTCTCTCTGTGTTTACTAATTTTTTTCTATTGTGTCCAGTTAACCATTAGGCTCCACCAAGTAATTAATAATTTCAGATATTTTACTTATTCGTCTACAATTTCTACTTGCTTTCCTTTAAGAATTTTGATTACTCTGATGAAATTCTCCATCTTTTCACCCCTTCTGTACATTTTCCTTAAATTCTTTAGCATTTTCATAATACTTATATTAAAGTCCTTGTCTATTAATTCCAACCATTTAGTTATCTATTATTCTCCTTGTATTCTTTTATTTTTTCTTCTTACGCGTCACATTTTTTCTGCTTTTTCACTGGTTTTACTTTTGAAATTGTGTTTAAAAGAATGCATAAGCCTTACACTTTCTCCTGCAAGGCGACTAAAGGGATTAGGCCAGATTTCTTATTTCTAATCAGGAACTAGGTTTCCCATCTGATTTGCTCTGGATGGTGAGATTTGGCCCTGCAGAAGTTTGTGATCTCTGCATGTAAAATGATAAGATCTCTCTCTGCTTTCCACCCAGTTGCTAACTTCTTCCACACCAGTCAGTGCTTGCTGAGCAAAAAATATTATGAAGGTGAATTGGCTGGCAGTGAAGACTAACTGTCTCCCCATTTTCCAATCTGCCACACCAACCAAGGACTGGCTGATAAAAGTTTGGCTAATTTCTCCTCTCCAGTGAAGTTTCTTTACCAAGAGCAGGCTAGCTCTTCTGACTACTCAGGCCCACATGGTGACAGCAGCCACCAATGTCTGTTCACCCTCAGAGGGCTCATCTCTCTGGTATTTCATTCATTTAGGCTTGTAGCCAGATCTCTTCAATATCTTTTATGGCAGATAATATTTTTAAAGTTATTGATTTTTCCTTGTTACAGTGGGACTGAATATTTTTTGCGAACTTTTGCATCCTAACCAAAAGTTAATCATTGATTTGATTCTTTGGTTTTATTTTTAATGGCCTTTTACAAATTCTGATTCCTCCCACACCCTCTTCTTTGGCAACCATCAGATTCTTCTCCATATCTATGTGTCTGTTTCTATTTTCTTTTGTTTATTCGTTTGGCCTTTAAAAAATTCTATTTTTTTTTAAGTAATCTATTTATAATCTAGAAACAGGACCTTCTACATAAATTTGGAATAAAGACCCATCTAAATCATTAAAAGTAAAATCTGGCTAAGGAGCTAAGTTTCTCTCATTTAATTTTTCATTTATTAAGTCATTTATTTAATCATCAAACACTGATGGGACACCAACCAACATTATACAGACCAGTGTGCTCTGTAGTGTGGTGGGCAAGCACAGATTAGTAACAGTTGCTATCACAGTTAGTGGCATAAGTCCAGTTTTTATTGTGTTCACAACTGTCTTCCCTTAGGAGACACAGAGATATCCAGGAATAGATATGGGTCTCTTGTATTAAGTGTCATTTAAAAAAATCTTTTCTGCCTTCAGAGTTGAAATCAGTGTATGCATAACTGTACTAATATGTAATTTACATTGTTGCCTTTGTATAATAAACTTAAGAACTTCTGATGGGGCAGTTAGGATTTGATTGCTGAAATCATATATGTCTGTAAAATACTTTTTAATTTGTAGATCACAGAGAACTAGTTCCTAATTATTTACTTATAATTGGTATCTATTAATTATATTCTTGGTTAGTTTCCTATTACTAATGTAACAAATTACCACAAATTAGCAGATTAGAACAACATTTCTATTATTTTACCATAGTGGAGTTCAGAAATTCAAAATCTGAGTGGCTAAAATTAAGGCGTCAGCCGGACTGGGTCCTTTGGGAAGCTCTAGGGGAGAATCCACCCCTTGCCTTTGCCAGCTTCTAGGGCTGTCCTTGTTTCTCACTCATGACTCTGTATTGCCTGTTCTCTTCTCTTTCCCTCTGTGTCACGTCTCCTTCCCTCTGAACTTTTATCTCCCTCTTACAAGGACCCTTGGATGGAGCCCACCAAGATTATTCAAGATTAATCTCCACATTTCAAGATCCTTTCTTATTTACATTTGTGAACTTCTTTTTGTCTTTTTTTTTATTATTATTATTAGTTAAGGTATTACAAATGTGTCCTCATCCCCCCCATTAACCCCGAACCTCCCCCCCCTCCCCCCGCCCCGCACACTCATGCTCCCATCCCCCTGTTGTCCATGTCCATTGGTTTGGCTTATATACATGTATACAAGTCCTTCAGTTGATCTCTTCCCCTTACCCCCGCCCTCCCCTACTTTCCTTCTGGGGATTGATAGCCTGATCGCTGTTTCTCAGCCTTTGGGTCTGTCCCTTTTCATCAGTCTATGTTGTTCTCTATAATCCACAAATGAGTGAGATCATGTGGTATTTATCTTTCTCTGACTGGCTTATTTCACTTAGCATAATGCTCTCCAGTTCCATCCATGCTGTTGCAAAAGGCAAGAGTTCCTTTTTTTTTACTGCAGCATAGTATTCCATTGTGTATATGTACCACAGTTTTCTAATCCATTCATCTGCTGATGGGCACTTAGGCTGTTTCCAAATCTTAGCTATGGTGAATTGTGCTGCTATGAACATAGGGGTGCATATATCCTTTCTGATTGGCGTTTCTGGTTTCTTGGGATATATTCCTAGTAGTGGGATCACTGGGTCAAATGGGAGTTCCATTTTTAGTTTTTTGAGGTAGCTCCATACTGTTCTCCACAGTGGCTGCACCAGTCTGCATTCCCACCAGCAGTGCACAAGGGTTCCTTTTTCTCCACATCCTCTCCAGCACTTGTTGTTTGTTGATTTGTTGATGATAGCCATTCTGACAGGTGTGAGATGATACCGCATTGTCGTTTTGATTTGCATCTCTCGTATAATTAGTGACTTTGAGCAGGTTTTCATATGTCTTTCGGCCTTCTGTATGTCCTCTTTCGAAAAGTGCCTATCTAGGTCCATTGCCCATTTTTTTATTGGATTGTTTATCTTCCTTTTGTTAAGTTTCATGAGATCCCTGTAAATGTTGGAAATTAAACCCTTATCAGTGGTATCATTGGCAAATATGTTCTCCCATGTAGTGGGTCTTCTTGTTGTTTTGTTGATGGTTTCCTTTGCTGTGCAAAAGCTTTTTATTTTGATGTAGTCCCATTTGTTTATTTTCTCTTTAGTTTCCATTGCCCTAGGAGCATTATCAGAGAAGAAATTCCTTCGGCATATGTTTGCGATTTCGCTGCCTGTGGATTCCTCTAGTATTTTTATGGTTTCCCGTCTTACGTTTAAGTCTTTTATCCATTTTGAGTTTATTTTTGTGTATGGTGTGAGTTGGTGGTCTAGTTTCATCTTTTTGCATGTATCT